AGACATGCATCCACATGTACACACTTTCTTATTAAGTGCGACAAGTGTGAGAAGACCAATGGCTATCACACTAAGTCTTGTGACAAAAAGCCGGACATCAGGTACAATCGTTACACAGACAATACAACGACTCTTTAAATGAGCGTGTAATAATCCCTGTATACTGCAATGGAAATAAAATGCTTGCATTGATTGATCCTGGTTCAAAAGTTTTATACACACGCTCCCTCACACGCGCTCACTTATATTCACCCACGCCCACACACATACGTGATGTTGTCGTGTAGTACGTGCATACACTTTATCGTTTGAAAAATCGACCAGGATCTTCAATCTTGCTCCTAAAAATGGTCATAGCCCATATTTACACCATAAAACACGGCTAGGGCCGAGGAGACCAAAAGCGTTTCTTCAAAGGGTAGCTAAGAACTCACGTTTTCTCCCTCACTTTCACTCAACAAACACACACAGGGACGGATCCACAGAAGTATGCTCTATTTCTTGAAACAACATTCCATTTAGGATCGCTCGAGGGGCCTCTTTTGGGCCTATATATGGGGTAAAAGCGTTCAGGACAGATTTCAAGTTCAATTAAAGAAATAGGGACTCTACAGCTAAATACGCTTTCGGTGATAAAACACGGCTGGGACGCCTCGGGGACTGGGAGCGCATAATTAGAGGGGTAATTCATTCTGTTCATAATCACGCCTATAAAAATATTGGTAAAATATCTGGGCCCTTTAGTTTAAAAAAAAACAAAAAACAAAAAAAACAAAATTATACAAACAAATGTGGAGTCTTTCTTTCTGAAATGAGGGGGGACTCGATGGGGGTCTGCAAATGAGTCAAATAGCGTCACCGACGTTTTTTTGGGGACGGACAAAAAATCAGTGATAAAGTTGACAGGGACTTAGAAAAGCTTACGCTTTCAGTAGTAAAACACGGCTGGGACGCCGCATATCTGAAAGTGCATACTCAGAGGGGTAATTCAAAATAAATAAATTATACAAACAAATGTGGAGTCTTTCCTTCTGAAATGAGGAGGGACTCTATAGGGGTCTACAAATGGGTCAAATAGCGTCACCGACGATTTTTAGGTCACCGACGGTTTTTAGCGTCACCGACGTTTTCTGGGGACGGACAAAAAATTGGTGATAAAGGACTTAGAATAGCTTACGCTTTCAGTAATAAATATCTAATATGGACTTCATTTGGGGGTTTTTTGATAAAAAAGAAAGTTTCGTGAGGAGTCCGCTTTGGAGCATCCAGATGGGGAAAAAGTGTACTGGACACCAACTAAAGAAATAGGGACTACAGGCTTACGCAGAAATGTGAAATGTGAAGGAGTAATAGAGTTATCGATGAAAACTATATCATCATTATCATCATGAGAACCTCATTTGTGATTTGAGCATTAAGGGAATGTCTCTATACGGCACCAACGAACATAAAAATATTAACACCTGAACCCTTTTCTTGTGTGCCACTCTCCCCGTCCTATATGAACTAGTAGTAGAGGTCAGTACATTTATTTTCTCGAATTGAAAAATTATATATTTAAAAAATATATAAATGCGGTTAATGAAATCACAGAACATGACAAAATCTCTTGGACCTGAGATTTACAACGGAACGGGACAAACAAAATTCAACATTGTGTCCTACGGTCCCGGACTTGCCGTCTTGCCCGTTCTCCCATAACTTCTGTTGAACTATTGACAGACAAATGAGACAATAAGTATCGATCGACGACCGTGCCTTTGCGGAGGGACCGGATGCGGTTTACGGAGTACTACGGAGTCCTCTCTGAGAGGCTGAGACCTACAATCCTACACCCACAGAAAAATCCCACACGTGATGCTTATCTTGGCTACTACTCTCCCTCTCTCTAAGGAGAGTAGTGGGCCCAGGGCCAGGGGCTAGCCGCCAGCCGCCAGGGTCCCAGCCTCCAGTGAGTCCAGTCTGGCCCACCCGACGAAGAATGTATCAGTAAATATTTGTATTTGTTTCATAGCCTCCTGTTCAATTGGAGGCTATGTTTGTTTTGTAAAAATAAGTCCCGCCAAAAAAAAGCAGAAATAACCACAAAAGCTGCTTTTATTTTATTTTAATCTTTACTCTCCATTGTGAATTTCTGGTTATGTACTGGACATCAGGTCATCAGGACATGCACAGTTGCACACACACTCACACACAAGAAGACTCTAAGAGAAAAGAGTCAGACAAAAGTCATATTCTGTATTTGTCGTCTCTATTTTTTTAAAATAAAAAAATGAAAAAATAACCTGTACATGACATCAGGTCATCAGGACATGCACAGTTGCACACACACTCACACACAAGAAGACTCTAAGAGAAAAGAGTCAGACAAAAGTCATATTCTGTATTTGTCGTCTCTATTTTTTTAAAATAAAAAAATGAAAAAATAACCTGTACATTCAACAGTTGTGACTTGTGTTGTGACTTGTGAAACTTGTGACTCGCGTGAGTTGAGACCGGA